TGAGTGCGATATGCAGTTCGCACATTCATGTCTCCCTCATGTGCAGTGCTGTCTCGGTTAATCATCTGTGTCGATTCGATCGTTCGAAATTGCTCTAGCCCACCGGCCCTATTCGCCACTGATGGCCAGATTATTCAGAATTGCTTATTACACCACAGAAATCTTTGTGTCCCCCCAAAAAACTTCAAGTATCTAGATTATATATAAATGTTTATATAGTATCAAATAACTGTGTTTACTTATACATGTGTAAACACTGTTTTACAAACATAATACATCGTTTGTAAAATAATGTATTTTATTTCATTAAAAAGTATACAGAGGCTTCGCAAATTAAAAAAAAAATAATCTATAGAACATATGTTTTATTCTTGAAGTGTTGTTTTGTAAATAAGCATATATGCACTGAAGTGCCATTGAATTAGAGATAGACATGATTATGCAAATTTTATAGCGCTGCGCGGCATCTGTGCTCGCGTGAGAAAGTTGTGGTAAATGCGCATACAGCTACTACTATGGTTGTTGTTAATCAGTTGTTTCAATTACATTTAAATGTTATTAATTCGGACACCCATAATTCGGAATAATCTATAATCCAGACCTCAAAGCTAAAAACTTTCTGAGCATGCTCCACGTTGACACATGCGCATAGGCGTTTACGCGTGCGCGTAAGACCTCTTACGACTGCACATTTGCGTGTGCGCAAGCGCAGAATACATTTTCACGTGCGCGTTTTATGTATAACGGACGGTGTAAGCTAAAATGATCTAATTATCTATTTCAGTTAATGTTGATGATTGCGTTGTTCCTTAATTTTCGAATTGGATCCGGCTTATTATTTTTTGCAGACTGTAAGAGCAATACTAAAAAAGTAAACTTGAACTTTCGATTATGTCAAATAGAATTTTTGATTCTGGAGCTTCCAAAGGATTGTACAAAACGAAAGTATGTTTCGATGTTCATCAAACAAAAAGTGGAATTGTTGCAAAAAATGGATAAAGACATGAAGAATGTGACAGAGAGGTTAGTGAAAACGGAAAAAATTTCGATTGACAAGTTAGTCGGTATTCTCGGCACAGCAATTACGGGACTTGAACAGCGGAACTTTGTAAGTGAACAAAAAATTATGTCTATTTATAGAATTAAAGAGAAAGAGTATTATCACATAAAATGAAACAACTTACATTGAAAAAGAAATGTTTAATAAAGTAAACAAAAATATTAAGCTTTTTTTTGTAAATTTGATACCCTTTAGATACATAATCATTGTTCTTTATTTATTCATAAATTACGGTTTCATATTTTTAATTTTAGAATTTCTGCATGCTATCTTACGCGATTTAAACTGATGATCTATTATCCGGAAAAATCAATAATCCGGAATCGCCGAAGTCCCGACGAGTCCGGATTAACGACTTTTGACTGTACCAGTATGAGTAACACTTCTGATTTAGACAGCTTCAGTTTTGGACAGATAGCAAGTTTTTGACGCATGGGCTATTCAGTTTCCAAAATCCTCAGCCGGCTAGGATTTTCAAGGTCGACAGTGTATACACGGAGAATACACGGATGATGGGAAAAGAACTAGCGATCAGGCAAATTGCAAAGGACAATTAACCTAGAAGAAGAAGCGCGGTTTGAGACGGCTCAGCCGTATTGTACATAGTCAGCGAATCCAAACATTAGTTCAAATTACCACCCAGCTGAATCAGGGCTACAGTTGTACAGTCAGTAAAAGGATCATGCAATGCTTGCTTCACCATAGGGCTTTGGAAGTCGTAAACCCCCGAGAGTACCTTTGCTGAATGCATGCCATTGAGCTGCACTTCTTACATGGGCAGGAGAATACAGAAAACAGACTCTTGTGGACTTGAAATGAGTAGCAAGGAGTGAGGAGTCTCGATTCTGACTAATTAATACCAATGGGAGGCTGAGAATATTGCATCAGACTCATGAAGCCATGAATTCTGTATGGTAGATTGGAACTGTAAAAAGGCCATGGTGGCTTAATCATGGCCTGGGATGCTTTCTGTTGGCAGTGTTTGGGATCTTTGGTACTTGTAACAACTTCCCTCAATATTATTTGGTACGTGGAGTTGCTGGGCACTCATCTCCATCCATTTATGTTGTCCTGTCATTCACGTGGAAATGGAGTATCCCAGCAAGATAACTGCACCTCTCACAGGTCTCGGTTGGCTCCTGCCTAGTTGAATGAGCATTCTTCTGACTTTTCTGCCATAAATTGGCTACTTAAAAGCCCTAACTTAAATTTTACTGAGCATCTTTCGAACGTTTTGGAGAAAGGTTTGAAACCTCATCTCATAACACTAGCGACTCTTTCTAAACATACTTTCGCTTTGCAGATCCTTTGGCAGCTCCAGAATCGGAAATTCTTTTTGACATAATCAAAAGTTCAAGCTTACTTTTATAAAATTGCTCTAACAGTCTGCAAAAAATAATAACCCGGATCCAATTAGAAGATTAAGGAAGAACGCAATCTGCATCATTAACTTAGATAATTAGATAATTTTAGCTTAGCTTATACCGTCCGTTATACATTAAACGCGCCATGTGTAAACGTATTATGCGCATGCGTTATGGCATTATCCGTTGACGCATGCGCAGAAAGTTTGTAGCTTTGAGGTCCGGATTAAATACTTTTGACTGTATAAGTAAATGTACTATTTTTCCTATATTATGTATTTTTAAAAAGTCAATAGGAGTTATCATTAGTTACCTTTTTAGTTTGATACATTTTGGGGGGGGGGTGAAAAACTTGAGGATACTGGAGTAATACTCGAAGTTATACTTTTCAGAATGGTTTATTTATCTGTTGCACATTTAATGGCAATGTATTATTATTAAAATGCTATGATCCTGTTTTAAGAACAACAGCCTCACATTTCTGTGGTTCACTGGATCCAGCATAAAAGTGCCAGCATCAATATGCAAAAACAGTAAGCTAGCTTTGGAAGTGGTTTTCAACCTATTATCTAACTCAGAAAAGCTGCTGCCTGCACCTTTAAATCAGGATTCTTTTAGTGGAGATAAATCCATGCTGGTGTCATAGTGAAATTTGCCTGATGCATTAAAGTTCTATTACTATTTCATGAGCTGGTGCATCATTATAAAGTACCTCCCCCTTGCCATGCATTAAGCTGCATTCATAGAAATATCAGCACCAGTAAACATGGACAATGTAAAGAGTCCTTTTCATAAAATGTGTTACCATTGGACTCTAGGTGACCAAAAATTTGCTTTAGATGATTGGAAGTAATTAATTCAGTCAGATTTAAAATAAACATTAAAATATGCAGTAAAATCCTGATTTGCATATACAGTTAAGCTTATAATTTAAATGCCTTTGCCTTCAGAAGAAAACTGTAGTAAAAAATTTTAAGGTTTGATTGTATCTGGTTTGCATATGTTGTTGTAGTTGGCCTTTCACTGTATCATAAGTGAGATTTCACCGTCACGAAACTTTGAAGATGAAATTTAAATAAATAATTATGGAGAAATTATAGCAACTTAAAACATTTCTTGGCAAGTAAGGACAGAAGGTTGAACAGCTAAAAGTTTTACCATTTGCTGAAAGTTAAAGATTTGCACAGTGTATTGTCAGCGCTGGCTCCAAGTGCAAATAATAGATAGCCACTTAGGACACCAATTTTCAGTGTTTTCTTAGGCAGCAATTAAATAAAAGTATATGTGGCTTTGAATTATTAATAAATTTATGAGGAACCTATTGGACTACCACTTTGTATATTAAAAATGCTGTGTATTAAGTACAATTTAATAATCACTAGCTATTGTACACACATTTAGCCATAATAATCTTAACTTTAAAGTAAGAAATCTCAAATCTTAATCAGTTTTCTATACTTATTCCTGCTGAATTTAAACTCAAAACAGCTAATGAATTACAAAGCATAATCGTGTGAGAAAATTTGATGCAAGCAACAGAATGACCTAACATTTTGTCTCTTAACCATGCTTTGTGTCTCTTCTTTCACTTATATAATTTTCATATATTTAGGAGTAAGGATCAGATTCCTGAAGCTTAGAATAAAGTAAAGTCATGTATTGGAGTAATTACATACAAGAGATATGTGGCAGTTCCTTATTATCTCAACTCTTGCATTAAAATTGGTGACCTACACAATCATTTATTGGAGTAATTACATGAGAGAGATATGTGGTAATTCCTTAATATCTCAACTGTAGCATTAAAATCAGTAACCAACAAAATTGTGAAAATTTACAAAAGCTTATTTATGATAAAGAAAAATAATGCAGATCGCATCCTTCACCTCGAGAGATTTTTGTGGGTTTGTGTGGTTTCCCTGTTTCTGTTCCTTTGCCATTTTATGTAAATTTAAATGGAGGCCATGGAAGAGAATGTTGCACATAAAACTACTATAGTTTATGACTGTTGGAGAGGCTATAAATCTTCCAATTTGCCACCTGCTGGATTAACCTTCTCAGCGTTACAGCCAGAAAATTCCGTATAGAAGACTGCCTTCTATATTCATTACAAAAGAAAATTTCTGCTAGCTTTTAGTGTATCTGATTTTGGTTTGGATGTATATTGGAAGAGAAGGAATCAAGGTACAAAATGAGAGATTCTTTTTTTAATTAAAATCAAGAAAATACCACTTACTCATGACATTTTGAGGAACTTTGAAATTTTAGGACTAAACTCGTAATGCTCGGAGGGTTAAAAAATTTCACAGAAAAATTAATTATTAACAAAAATTTAGTAAAAAGGGGAGAAAATGAAACAAAAGTGTTGGAGGAGGGAGTTTTGTGTCAAGCCAAAGATACGAGGAAAGAAATAACCCAAAATGCACCATTATTGCATTGAAAATGAGTTGTATGGCTTCAACTGGAAAGGACCAAAGTTTTATGTAATCATTTTTAAAAGATTTTATTTCATGCATTATATTTGTATGTTGTATATGTATTTATAATAATGTTTTTTAATACGTATTTATATGCAGGAACAGAAAAAGAATGCAAACCATTGAAATGGGTTGTTGATTTAACAGTAGCTTACCCAGAACCTCATAAACCTTTAGATTTGCTTGCTATCTGTGCTTCTTCCCGTCCATCATGTGTTACTTACTTGCATTACCGTCGTTATTCTGTTAATGATGTGCCGCTGGACAATATGGAAGCCCTGCGAGACTGGGTATATAAACGTTGGAGTGAAAAAGATGAACTCTTAGAAGAATATTACCGTACAGGAAAATTCCCTTTATTGCCTAAAAGCCAACGAAACAGCAAGAATGATGACCTAATGTGTGAAGTAAAATCACGTCAGATTGATATGTCTAATTGGTGGATTGCATTTCTTCACTTATTTTTCATTTCTTCATCATTTTTCCATTATTTTCTCCTGCGTAGAATGTGGGATTTTGCACATTACTGGTAGTGATGGTGAAAATGTTGCCTTAAGAGCTTGCATATCCTTTTGTGGATTGCATGCTTTCATACTCAGAGAATTACAGACACTTGTTTTATAATACATTTTCATTTTTAATCACAATGGCTATATGCTACATTTTAAATGCATGATTTTTACATTACTTGAGCCATAAATGATGCAATGAAATCGTACATTGTTTTAAAATTTATTTTTTATATGAAAAAAAGTTTGAATCCTACTCCTTTAATTATTATAAGTTCCCTATTTTAAAATTTCCTTACATTTCAATTTAAACTTACAACTTTTTCTATGGATAATGCAGTATATTATATAATATGTTGTATTTAAAATTATATTTTCCAAATGAATATTTATTGTGAAGTTAATAAAAACATTTGATTGTTATGTTTCGAAGTATACCTGTGATAATTCTGCACATCAGATCTGTGATACTTGCAGTAATTTTTTAATGCATTAAAATTGCATGTTTACTAAATGTTTGGCCTATGAAATTAATATCTGTTAATTCAAGAGAAAGTTTCTACACTTAGCTGCATAATTTATGTATTATAATTTGAAAATTTTCATGAAGTGTTATTTACCGGTTATACCATTCAGCTGTCTCCCCTTTTCCTACAAGAATTTCCTTGGTGCTACTATTTGAAAAATAATTTAATTTAATTTTTCATGCTGAAATGTGAAAATTAGAATTAGATTTTAAGATGTTTAAAAAATGTAATATATTAGCAGTGGTCAGTTTTCTTCGATTTATATTAGATTTAATGTGTGTTAAATACTCATGTGAAAGTATTTGGCATGTGCAGTTGCCTTATTAATATAGATCACTGTGATTGTGTGAGCTTTTTTTAATTATTGCCTTACTCAATTGTTGTATATATTAGTGCCATTTTTAATTATGTTTATATAAACTTTGTCTGTCAAATTATGCCATAAAAGTGTAGAACTTTCTATGTTTATTGCTATATTTGATTTATGTTTTTGTACTTTGATTTTTTTTTTCTGTTAAATAACACTAGTATTATACTGATGTTATATTCATGTACATAAACATTACTGTGGTTGTGTGATGCTGAGGTCATTATGTTGTAGAATAATAGTGCTTTTTTTTTACCTTTGTGGCCAAGGTAGTAGTAATAATATACCCAATGACAGTACTGTTGTATATTTTAAATGTATGAGTGGGTAATCAAAGTAAATTTTTATGAAATTCTGAGAGTAGTGAATTATGGTAATTGATCCTAAGTCAGAATTAATTGTGTAAAAAATAAAATAAAAAAATAATTAAAAAAAAAAAAAAGATGCATAAAAATGAAATTTTCTTAAAATTTTGTCATACTAGCAGCATAAGTATTAATGAATAAATTTTATGTTTCACCTTGCTTACGTGTTTTCGTTTTGCATATTTGAATAAATTACTCACATTGAAATCTAAGTTTTTAAGGAATAGTTTTTTTCTGATATTAAATTTCCCCCTCCCCAATGGCCAGATGCGTAATACTTAAGCATTCATCAGTAATGGCGAAACACATCCAGTCATTTAGGCAATAAACTAAAAAGAATGCTGCCAGCAGAAAGGGTTACCAAATTATGCCCACGAATGAGAGCAGGCTGCATTCCAGTTTTGAAGAACATGCTGAAGGACAGATCTGAGAGTCTTCCGCTTTTCTCTTTCCTACATCAACTTCTTGAGAGTATATTCAGCTTGATAGTACATTTTCAGTGCTCCCATGCCAGACAGTACACTTAACAAACCTTCATGTCTTTTCTGGAATTCCCAAACCCAAAACTATGGCAGCATCTTTCCCTACCATCATGCCAACAAGTCAGCTGTGATACTAAGTCATAAATATCATAGAAAATAGTGGTTAGGAAGAGCATGGTGCTCCTGTTCTTTAAGCTTAATGATTCATATGCAACCAAAGGTCAAATTTTTTACTTCTTTTAGAGAAAGGTCAATTTTTGTACACTGTGTTTTAGATCAGGAAATATCTGAATGTTTTGATTCTAATGAAATCATGTTGCTACCTGAAGTTTAACACCCTGTGCTTTATATCCTGCATGTGTTCCCCCCCCCAAAAAATTCATTTATATTCTTTAACGAACTTTTTGGGTCTGTTCTGCAAACTTCAGATCACTTGCAATGTAAGGCATTTATAAAAATATTTAATATCATCTAGAAAGATTGGATTTTAATTACTGTTCTAATGTAGTGTTATAACTTTTCTTCCTCCTCAGCTTTTTATGTTTGTTAATGATTATCAAGCAAGATTTAAGTCAATTGCTCTTTTGATTTGTGGATTTGTCAGTGATTGAACAATACAGTTTGAATGTTCAGATTGGAAAATCTATAAAATGATTTAAAGTCCATTTTCCTTGCAAGATGTAGAAACTTAAATTTCTAATGCTATTTTGACTTGATGATTTTAATGGAGCAAATATAAAAATATGCAATATTTTCTAATGGCTTGGAAGATTTATTACTTTATTGGCTCAGTCTTCATTTGTCATAAAGTGATGGGAAACTGTTGTGTGCATTTAATTCATTTTCCATCTTTATTATTGAAATCATCTCTAATTTCTTTTCTCTGAATCTCTATGCAAATGGGCAGGTTCATTGCATTGGATATGGGTGAATTCATATAAAACTGAAGTTTTGCTAATGTACTTCTTCAGAAAGGATGACAGTTTCTGTAGTACTTGTGATACTATGTCAACAGACAATGAACTGCTAAATGTTGATTCAGTTTATTAATATTAATAATACTGTTGCATTCTTATGGGTTTGTGGATTTGGAGTGATTGATGACAAAACTTGATAAAGAATCAAAATGCAATTTATTCGCCAGTATTTCATAGGAGAATTCCCAAAACACGCGTGCAATCATTGAGAAACTATGATAAGCACGCAGAAACAGTCAGCAACACAGCCTTCAGGCTACAACAGTGAAGACAGCTTCATGCAAAACACTAAATACAGCTCCCGACTCAGTCGATCTCTGTCAGAGCTCAACACACTCAAGATAAAACTCGACGAGTAATTTCTGTATTATGTTTTCATAACGACTGAGCCAAGAAACATAATGTGGAATGTCACTTTCAGACGAATCATGAAACATGAAGCTATGTGAGCTGAAATTGAAGCTTTCAGCGTAGCAATTAGTATTTGTTAGGCCAGTTTCAAAGACCAAGAATGCAGCAATGGCCTCGTTTAAAATTGCTCACCTGCTGGTGAAGTAGGAAAAGCCATTTCAAGACGGTGAGTTGCTGAAAGAAGCAGTTCTTGCAGATGCTGAAAGCCTCTTTAACGGATTCTCTAACAAGCATGAAATTATCAGTGCGATTCAGGACCTTCAGTTATTAGGCAGCACTGTTTTAAGAAGAAAGAAGCAATTGCTGATAACATGCAATCTCAACTGAAGAGAGACTTGGAAACATGTGAATGGTTTTCTCTCCAATTTGATGAGTCCACGGATATTTCCGACATGTTGCAGTTAGCTGTTATGATAAGAATGGTATTTAACAACTTTTCTGTTAAAGAATTATTAAAAATTCTGCCTTTGAAGATGAGAATGTGAGTAGAGGACATTTACAATGTTTCAAGACGTTTGCGGAAATTGGCTTGTCACCTAAAAAGCTATCGCCAATTTTGTCGTCAGATAGGTGATTTTGTGCCAAATCTGGCAACCCTAAATCCGCTTTGCGGGGAAGCTATCTCACACAGATAGGCATTTCGTAACAATACAAAAGAAAGGTAAACTATTTCTTTTGAAAACCTTCCACAATTAACTAAAACTCAGACTTAGATTTGTGTCAGTTTTGAATGAAAATATTGTAGATTTTGAGAGATGATATGGTGCAGGTTTAATTTACTTACCACTCCTTGACAGAGAGAATACTATATCAGTCACCTTTTAAAATGCATAGAGCATTTTATTTGAAATCAACACTTATCTTTAGATTTTGCCTTATTTTTAGAATTTCCTGTTTTATATTAGATGATGTTTATAGAGGTATCCAGAAATATATTAAATGGTAACAAACTGGAATAAATAAATCAGCAGTAAAATAAGGTAGTGAAATCAGGACTGTGACATTAGAATTTAAGTAAAGAGAAAAAAGGTCTAATTTGCATACACTGATTTGTACTTATAATATTTCCTGCATTGATACATCATATACTGATAATATGTCCGTATATGCAACATATAAATTCTTGTATTCATTTTTCTTTTAAACCAGATTAAAATTCAAAGGAACGAATAAGCTGCATTCCTTTGAAAACCTTTTATGAAGATTGCCCCTTAGACCAGCATTTCTTAACTGTGAGTCACAATCCCAAATGGGATCATAAAAAGAAATGTTGAGGTCACAAAAATTTAATTTACCGGCAAAGTATGAAATCCAGCATTCTATAGAATGCCTAAGCATTGTATATAATCCCTAAAACTAGCCAGCAATGTATGAAACGATTCATATTTCACACATTTCCTAGGCAAACCGGCAAAGTATAAAATACATTTCCAATTCGTTTCGAAGAACCGAAACCACTTACTAGAAGTTAAATTAATGGCGTAAAAAGGCCAAAATGACTACTAAGAAGGAACCACGGGATGGGTAAATGGCAGACCGTATATTGAGTTGAACAATGTTAAGCGAATTTTGCTTACTGCGCATGCTTGATGGTGTACCTTTGGCGCGGGGAGAAATGTTGGTAACTAAGCAACCCTACGCTATCTTATTCGTGATCTCAATGGCTGCTGAGTGTGGTCCAGTGATATTTACAAATGCAATGCTGTGGAACTTTGTTTATTAGTCATTTTAACATCCGTACCGATTGCACTTGCTTATTTTTCTAATATATGTTTCATTTTAATTTGTCAATAACAGTGCATTTAATATTTGTTAACATATGTTGTGTGTAATAATTCATTATTTAGATGTAATTTGTTTACATGTTATAATTCAGTAATGTAAACTGGATTTTCTTGCTTAGTTTGTTAACCCCTTGGGTACGGATTTATTTGAGAAAATATTTGCATGTGGAACGGATATAATTTTTGGTTGCTTGGAGTAGAATGTAAAAGCAGTACATTTTATGTAAGTATTTCTAAAATATTGTGACATATGTAGTATTAAGATATCTTCAAGTATTTAGAATTGCAAAACAAAAATAAATTAATAACAAAATAAAACTAAATTAAATAAATTCAAGCTATAACAAAAAAACCAATTACTTATAGTTATGCAAAGTGTGATATTTTTCAAAGCAAGTAAGAAAATGCAGTGCTGCTTTGCATTGTTTGCACTGCCACGTAGTCTCTTGCCTAATATTATGCTTATAACAAACATGGCACCTTTTTCCAGGATGTTGCTTGGACTTAGTTGACGGAATGTTCTCAGGAAAGTGTGCCGAATTTTTTGCTGCCAAACGAAATGGCTACTTGACAGGGGCGTCCACGACGTTTATAATTTGGCAATGACAATTGCTCCAGCAATTCTTCGGCAATAGCTAAACGAAAGGAAGTAATGCCTGCCTTGGTTGTGCAGCTTGATTTTAGAATATAAAACATAAGCATTATAAAAGGCCATATCTATTAGATAAAAAGCATTTTCTTATAACCCTTTACACATTTTCTCATAACTGGGAAGCACGCTAGCAATTGGTCTTGTTTATCAACGCCTCCCATAACTTTATAACTTTATATACTCAAGCACAGATGCCGGTTTTATAATATTTTCGCTATTGCCACCTTCATTTTTTTTTTCTTTTTTTTCTCCTTTTGCCTGTGTTTATCAAATCAGCAGCATTTGAATGTTTTGTGCTAAGTATGTGAATCATCCGCTCCTAGGAAAACAAGTGAATGACGTCTCCCAGACGTAAAATGTACCCAAGAGTTTAATTTTGGGTTTGACGTCTTAGACACGTCATCCGCTCTTAGGGGGGGGGAAAAAAGGTGAATGACGTGTCTCAGACGTCAAATGTACCCAAGGGGTTCACGTACATTCACGCTTTTATTTTCTTATTTCAAAGAATTAAAGAGTAAAGTGCAAAATCGCCCACTTATTTGTTTGGTGTTTGTTTGGCGCTTTTTACAAAAGTTAGAAAAGTTGGATTTTTGTCAATTTTCTTCGACTTCTTAAGTGAAAATAGGTCGATTGTACATGGATAAAGTCAAGGAAGTGCGCAGTGCCATTTTTGTGCAATTATGGGATTTTTTTTTAAATAGGTCGATGTGTACATGGATACCGAGTATGTGCAATTCTTAAAAACGTGCCAAGCAGTGGGTAATTCTGCAC